AAAATCAAATGGTGCTGAAATAGCAGGCACAGAACATCCATGTCCTAGTCTCCAGGAAGATACCACATTTGATGATATGATACTATCCCATTTTTTAAAATTTACTTTTAAAATTTTGTGATTACAAAAGCAGGAAAAAAACCCCATAAAAGTATATTTCACATAAGGGAAAAAGATCCCATTCAGAATGAGGCTGCTGCTTTCTGAGCAAGTATTGACATCTTTTGGAATTAATTCATTTTGCTTTTGATGACATCATCAAGTACAAAGATTAGGCTGGCTATTTCCCAATATCCTAGAGAACATATCCATTTTAAAAAAAGCTGATATGATGCTAAGAGGAGGGATAATAGCCTTAATGATCAGGCATTAAATCATGATTCATCTGGTATCCCATTTATCAGCTTCAGCTATGTCCAAACACAGCGCTGTCAAAGGAACTAGTATAATTACAAGAGAGAAACCTTTCATTATCCCATAAATTTGCACTTTGTCATTTAGCTGGCTGCATGGCTGGAATTATGGGGGATCTCAACAAAACCAAACCAAAAGAAAAAAGGTAGGAGAAATATATAACCTATTTGCAACATTTTCCTGTGTGAAAACTTTTAGCGGTCCAGAATTTGTACTCTATTATGTTTAATTTCTGCAGTTTTGAAATCAACTTTCAGGGTTCTGTTACCGGAGAGCTGGTCTACAGATTCCTCCCTTCCTCCAATTAGAGAAATTCCTACAGAATTTGACTGACTATGGTGTTGACAGATCATCACGATTTAAAGCCAAGATGCAGAAGGAAGACTCCAAATGTGGTAACAGGTGGTCTCCTCTGAGTGAAGCCCAATTTTTGGTGACTTCATGGACCTGCTCATCTAACTTTCTCTGGAAAAGCATGGAAGTGGATCGCCATTGCTTGTTTTCCAGGATGTTTGTCCAACTTCCCACTCTAGTCTTTGATTCCTTGGTGATCTTTTTTCTTAGCACTAATGATGCATGGCCTTCTTTAGCTTGGCCAAGTCAGCCCATGCCTGCTGAACTGCAATTTTTAATTTCAGAAAGAGGGAACATTATTCAGAACATGACTTGAGAGCATCCATATGAGTTTATCATTACTTTTAATTAAATTCAGACATCAGCGAAATCAAATTTAGGTTTTGTCTCGGCCTGACTCAGTTTTTGGAAGGCAGCACCCCATATTTAATGGCACTATGGTTCTTCTACATCTACCTCTCTGGGATCAGTTTAGTCACTCTCGGAAGAGAATGCAGGATTAGATGGCTTTTGAACAGTCTCTTGTAATCTAGCAGACTTACGTAGTAGCATAGGAGAGGAAATACATGTTTGAGCAGCTAACGAAATCGTTTGGGCAAGATCATAGAGAGGTAGGGACCAGCTCATTGCAATTTAAATAAATGAAATGGTTCTTTTTAATGCAAGGAAAAACAGCACAAGAGATAGTTTGCCCTGAGTTTAATCTCTAATGTTTTCACTACAGTTCCAGGAAGGAAAATATGACCTTTCCAATATACAAAGAAATGGGTTGTAATAGCTCCACAGCACGCCACATTAAAACATTGATACCTCAATAGCTGGGTTGATTATGCCTATCACAGATTTGAAGAGTGGGTTTGGCTAATGGAGAATTAAGGTCCACCAGGAAGAGAAGAGAGAGAAAGCACAGAAGCTTGAGTAGCTTTTGGGTTTCCCCTTGTACCTGTGGACCACATCTGTCCTCATGGTTCTGTGAGACATCTAGTATAGAAAGGAGAACACTGTTCCAGCGTTTGTCCCAGTACAGCTTCACTAAAGGACTTCTCTGAAGCTTCCTCGGTAGGATTCTGTACATATCATATTTCAGATGGGAACACATTTGAATAAGGCAATTGAAACTTGGGTCCTGATTCTGTTTTTGAGAAATAGGCAGAGTATATAAACAGGTCACCATAAGCCAGTTTCACTTGGAACAGTTCCTCGGGATCCAAACACCTTGCCCAACTTTATTTAACAAATGTAACCACTCTATCCCCATGGCAAATTGTGGATATTTATCACGGAAATCAGTAATCTCTCAGCCTTGGCTGTTTCCCATACTATATAGGCATGTAATTCCTCTCCTAAGTCTGCAAAGAATTCCAGTCAGTTTCAATATGGTCATAAATAATATTTAAAATACAGCAGTGGAATTGTTCAAGACTTAAAAACAGACAACAACAATTGCAACCAAAACATCTGGATATTTTCCCCAAATCCCTTTGCTGTCTGTGAATCAGGGCATATTGATGTAAGAATATGATGTAAAGGACAATCTCTTGATACAAAGGAGCAAATTAAGAGGGTTTTTCCCCCCCTTGCCTGAAATATTTATAATTTATTAGAACAATGTTTCCTGTTAGGTCTCAAGTGAAGAACCCACAGACCTTCAGCTTTTGCTGTACTACAACTCCCATTATTCCTCACATTTGGCTGGCTCTTCAGTCCTACCTTACTTAGTAAAATGCACCGTGTTGCAGAATAACTTTCATGTGCCAGACTGAAGAATCAAAACAGTAGTTAAAAATACATGAATGCATGCAAAAATGTTTAGAGATGAGGAACACTCAGATTTCTTCTCCTTCAGGGGGAAAACTTTTTTACAGGCTCACAAGGAAGTAGTGTTATAAAGGTTGAGGTAGAAAATGTATTGCTCCATGCCTAATTTGGTTTGCAAATTAGCATCGGTGGTCAGAATGCCCAGAAAACGCAATTACTGAAATTTCCTGGCACTCCCATCTTCAGAGGATAAAATCACAGAGGTTATTTTGAAAATTAGTGCTGTAAGCTGTAAAACATTCTGCAATTCCACTTTTACATTTTTGGTCAGATCTTTCTATCCTTAAAGATTAATGGCACAGGGCAGGATAACTTCAAGGTGTTTTCTTTTCCATGCTGACTGAAGTCACCATTGTAAGTTTTCTTATCTTGTGCTACTCTAAACATTAAGAGGGGGGAAGGGGGAGGAGGAGGTTAGAAGGAAGCACTTTGGTGGAATATCTGCAAAGCCTTTAAGGTCCTACATACTTCAGGGCATCCTGCTAAAAGAATCTCAACAGTCTACGAATGGATCTACAGATGGTTTCCAGAGTTCTCCAGCCAGCTTGTTTTAAGAGTGCTGGGAGTTCACTTCCATACACCCCTGTGGCAGCCAAGGATTGGGAAATCTGGCTAAGATCCAAGGAGTCTAAGAGACCATCTTTCTAGCTTTTTAAAAAGATCCCTAGGGGAAGACTCCCCCACCCCCTTTCAGAGAACAATGTGTCAGACCAATAGCAAAAAGTCCTGGTGTTGCTCCAAAATGATGGAACCCCTGCCCCAAACTATGATTGGCCACCATCCCCTCTTTCTGGAAGGGTTTGAAGACACCATTTCTATAAACTGCCTTTAAAATTGTTTCTGGTGTTTAACAAT